GAGCTCCTGGTGTCCTTTTTTTGGGCTCTGCATGAGGAAAGGGGATCAGATTTTCACTTTGGTTCTAGCCTTCTTGGATATGTGGTCACTGCCCTGCTGGAGGGGGGTGGTTTGCGTAAGCTGGGGTGTTCTGTGTGGGTGCAAATTGGTGCAATAATTTGGGGGAAACACAAAGTGACTGGTCAGCAAATATGCATTTTTGCTGGGCAGTCAGAATCTGACCTTAGTCCTTGGAGACATCTTTTAAATTGGAATGATTCAGAGAAGATTGATTAGCATGGCCCCTGCGCAAGGATGAGAGAGAGAGAGAGAAAAAAAAAAAACTGCACCGGTGACTGCTGCGCAGTTCAAAATTCGCAGAAATAATGGTCCACTGCAAGATTGGGCCGCGAGCAGTTTGAAACAGCAAGAAAAACAGTGAACTGCACGTTAGATGCCGTACTGATTCGATAATTGGCAAAAACGGGAGGTGGCCTGGGCCAGTGGTACCACGTGGCCTGGCCTGGCCTGGGAGAAGGTACCGGTAACAGGCCCTCCCGTTCCGGTAGCGGGACTTGTTCAGACGGGTAGCGGTGCCCACCGTTTTCAAAATAATCGGAAACAGACAACTGAGCTGAGTGATGGTGTGCTATCTCTCTCTCTCACTCCACCAGGTAGGTACAACTCCACTCCCTCTCATCCACGCTGCTTCTCCTTTCTTTCCCCTTCATCTTTCCCTGTCTCCTCCCTCCTTGTCACCTTTCCTCGCACTTAACTTCCCATAATAAGGCTCGCCGCGCTCATGTACGTGGGCCTGATTCAGGCCATAGCCGGCACGGCTTAGGTCAGAATAACGTTCTCGCTGCAGGAAAAAAAAAACAAAAAAACAAAAAACGATAATAACGATGAAAAGAAAGAAAGAGTATAAAAGACGGGAAGAGAGCGGAATAGCCAGCAAGAAAAAACACAACCCACATGAATAACACTGGCCAGCAGAGGATGAAGAAGATTCTTAAAATCGTGGGGAAGTGTCCATCACGATCACGACTCGCAGCAGGCCAGGTAAGCTCCTTCGTCCTTTGCCACTCTCTTTCTCTTTTCTCATCTCCCCCTCCTTCCTCTTCTTTTTTCTCTCGTCTTCACCCTCTCCTTCTGCAACATCGGTTGTCTTCTCCCTCCAAGTGAAACAGGCTGCTTTCCCGCCCTGAACGCACCTGTGCGGTGCACCTCACCGAAGTCAGTGCACACTCCAACCGTAGCTAGATACAACGTCTATCTTGGTAATGAACGCGCCCCGTAATCAGGGATAGATTCATCTACAGGAGTCGTTGGAAGATCGATGACAACAAAAAATATAATGAGTAAATAAATAATGAGAAAAAAAAACAATAATAATAAGTAACAATAATACCATGATATTGAATGTATACAAGCTACCATTGTATTGAATGTATACAAGCTCTTTCCAGTCTGATGCAGTCGACAGGGAGGGGGCGTGTGTTTTGGGGGAAAGCC